TAGCCATTTTGGGTTTTTTCAGCACTCCAGCCAAAAAACGTTGCTTACCCCTGTGATAAACAGTACCAGACCCAGGACAGACCCCTGGGAATCCCACTTAATACCTCCTTGCAACCAGACATTGAACTGTTGATGACTACTTTTTGAGCACAATGATTCAACTAGTTGTGTATCCACATTACAGTACTTTTATCTAATCTGTATTTCCTTAGTTTAGGGGTTGACATGTACCCTCAGGGGTACTTGAGATGGTCCTAGGGGGTATGTGCAGGTGGGCGGGGATGGAGCGCCGCCACGCACCATCCTACACAGGCACCGCCGGGCCAGCCAGATGGGAGGGGCGGGGGAAGGTTGCACATGGTGGCTGCTGCCGCTTTGCGTTTAGCTGCGCACTCCCCCAAAGTCTGCGTCTGGTCACCAGGGTACACTGCTCCACATCTGGCCGCCAGGGGTACACTGACCCAAAAAGGTTGAAAATCCCTGCTCTAGTTGGTTAATGACAATGTTATGGGAGACAGTGTCAAAAGCCTTGCTAAAGTCAAGATATATCATAACCAGTGGGCTGCAGGCAGGAGTGATGGAGTTTGGGTCAAAGGTAGGTGAGTGGGCTTTAGAACCTGTTCACTGCTGTCATTTTTCCCCACTGTAGCACAGGAAAAATGCTGCTACTGCTGCTTTTCCCTGCAATGGCACAGGGAAAGTACCTGCAGCCAGCACTTCTCCCCACAGCAACATGAGAAAGTGACTGCTTCTAAAGCTACCTACTGCCCCAGCCCATCCATGGGACGGATCATAGACTTACCAGGTTGGATCTGGCCTGTGGGCCATAGGTTACCAACCTCTGCTCTAGGTACTTGGAAATAGATTTCTTCAGGCCCTTTCTGGCATAAATGTCTAAGTGGTCTGTAGTATCCTGGATTCTCCTTCCTCTCTTTCTTAAAGATAGGCACTACTGCTTGTAGACATTAAAAAATGATGCTTTAAACTCCATGCCCTCCTGTACTGAGCCCAGCACATGCCCAGAAGAGGCAGTGCATTAGTTGGACACAGTATGTACAGTATATACATTGGCTCGCCCAAAGTCTGTATAGATTGGGTGGTTATATTTGTACTTTTCCAGTCTGAGCCACATATGGTCTTCAGACTTCAGACTCTGTTCCTAAGTTCCCCAACCGTAAAATGGGGACAGTCAGATTTTCCTACCATAGGTATTAAAAAAAATACTAAAAAAAGAAAGCCAAATAGATAAATTATGGCACACTTTTCTTTTTTCCACTTCCCACCTTCTAGTGTCTGTCAGCATCCCATTGTGGAGTTCTGATAGACAGGGATGCTGTAGTCCCCTTAGAACAGAGAGAGATGCTGGCAGGACATTCTTCTATGGAGGACTTTTAGTATTAGAATCTGCTCCTAAGTCTAAAACTAATCTGCACTGGCAACTTTCAGGGCCCTTTGTAATGAAGGTCTCTCTAACCAAGGCTTTTGTGCAAGACAAGGACCTAACAGTCAGTCTCATTTGTGGCGAAGGGCAAACCTTGTCAGCCTTGATTTTGCCAGTGATTGGTTATTTTTGGCTTGGGAGTATGGAGCAGTGTAGCTTTTCTTTTGTACGTTGTATTTTTAAACAGTGAAAGAGGCACTGAGAACTCAGTATAGGTGATTATTTTTTAAACCAAACTAGTTATAAAAATAATTAGAAAGAATGATGTATTGAATATCAGTAATCAGGACAAAGATATGTTCTTTCAGTTTGATCACTTAGACCCTCTGAATGTTTACATATATGCCTAATATTAAGCATGAGAGTAGTTCTGTTGACCTTGTGATAGATGTATGCAATTGGGATCTTAGCTCCTTGTTCACCACAGGCTCATTCACTTCTTTCAGAAGCTGTTTGTAGTCACAGTAGTGCTTACTTTGGTTGACCTCCCCCACACACCTGTAAGGGAACACACACAGATCCTTTCTTTGGAAGGCGTAGGAGATTATAAAATTAATTAGAAACATTTAGAGTTCAAAAACAATAGAACTACAATATTTATAGCGATAAACTGAAAAATGTGCTTGCACTGCTGGAACCTAAACACAAAAGCATGAAAAGCAAATCTTAATCCAAAAGCAAATCTAATGATGAGGTGCAACCGAATAGTCTCATTTCATTCTGAGGATGGCAAAGGACAGAAACAGCAGAGACAGTGAAAATGTTAGACTAAATTAGGTTGCTATAAATTTTGTTGTAATAATCTAAGGTATTGTTATCAGCAGTTCTTGTAAGACTGGTTTAAAGGGTGTTTTTTTTTAAATATTCTAAATCCATTTTTAGCAACCTATAGGAATGATTAAGGATTTTTTTCTTTAGTGTCCTTTTGACTGTTTCAAACCTTAGCTAATTATTTCTAAATATTCAATTCTAAAGGGAAGTTGCTGTTTTGTTTTCAATCTTACTGCTATAATAATTATTAATTCATGCTTTGATACTGTAGCTACCTAAACAAGAAGAGATTATATGGCTCAGGTAAAGTGACACAACTCTTCACTTTGCAGGTGGTGGGTTGAATCCAATCCTGACTGGAAGTGCTCAGAGGTGACTGTTGGGATGAAAGCTAGATGACCACTGGATAAAAGCTACATGAAATGCACAGGTGTGCTTGCTTACCCATCACAAATTAGCACTACAATCTATGCTTGTGTTAGTATTCTCATAGAGGAGGACGGTAGCTGAATAGGAAATGAACAGCTCTCTATGGTGACATGTACTTTTTAGGCCAGGGTTGTGGAGCAGTGGCAGGGCATTACCTAAAAATCTTGTTCTGCTGGTAATCATACTGTAACCACTAATAGTGTAGAGAAATGTATTCTTTGGGCCTGTCAAGACTGGTGTTTTTCAGGAGCAGTACATTTACTTATGCAATTTAAGAACTGGTTCTCTTTAAAACACTATTGTTATCTTGACATCTTCAATAAGCTTGCCACTTGACACATTATATATTATTTTTCGCTATCACAGATAAAACATAGTTATGTGATTGTTCAAATCATTAATATAGAACTGTAAAATGATCCAAGTATGCTTTTACCTAAAACTTGGTATTTTAAGGTTAAAAATATGTAATTGTAACTAGGCATTACAGAAACCTTTTTACTGAGCCTGCTAAGGACAATTTAATACAACTCATTTTACAGTGTGTGGCCAGAAGCATTTTTTACTGTATTTGATGCACAACCAGGGTATTTGTTTTCTCGGGGGCTTCAGTTATTTCAGTTGCTTTCACTGTTTCTCTGGCAAAGTTTCATCTCTATTCTCTCTCTATTTTCAAGAAATGATGGACAAGAGCAAATATTTTGCAATGAAGTCAGTGGCAAAACTTCCAATTATTTGTGGTGGAGGAGGCCACATGCCCTTTGCAAGGCAAACACACACTTTCATACCTCTCTGAACAACTTGAAAATGTACTTGTCTACTCAGGTGCCCAGCTAAAATTCACAAGTAGAACCCAACATAAAAACATCCAGTCATGTTCACAGAGCTCTGACCTACTCACTACTCAAGATTAATCCACTACTCAAGATTAATCATTTAATAATAAATCTGGATGCAAGTAAATATAGAGAAAGCAACTTCAAAGAATGCTTCGGCCTTGAGCAAGGGGTCGGACTAGGCAACCACCCGAAGTCCCTTCCAACCCTATGATTATTAGAAACAGAAAGCACTCTGACAATGTCCTTTCACACAAACGTTGCCTTTCTTTTGGTAGTGTGATGGAAAACCAAAGGGCTAAAAGCAGTAGAAGTTTGTGCAGCCTTTTATTAATGCCACTCTTGTTTACCCCAGCAGTAGTTCATCTAGGCTAAAGGATGTATGATGTTTGGGACAGGCATTCCCTTTTTATTGGTTGATTAGAATGGGAGTCATACCATGCTAGGCAGCCAATTGAGGTTTTAGGTACTATTCAAATAATCATTAGTAATGGTAGGAAGGATGAACGTTTTTGAGATGAGACCAGGCATCTAGCTTGCCTCTGGCAAATTGTCACCTGACCCTGGGAAGAAGTGCCAGCCAAAACAGCGGTATGTGACAGCAGCCTACCACTGAAAAGGCACCAGTCCTGAATGGAAATCAGGGATTAAACATGAGACCTGTCCAGGGCCAGTTCTTAAGCAGAATGGCTCAGAAACATGGCAAGATTCAGTTGGGCGTTTTGTTTTTTTTTTTTAAGGGTAGCAAAGCTTGTGCAGTTTGTCATACCTTGAATTGTATTCGATTCCCCAAGTTTGTGTATACAGCATGATGAAAATGTACACCTGGATTGCATCAAGGCAATAAGGGAGTTTCCCCCATTGTTTTGCCAAACTACCTTAGTTGCCTGGGTCAGCAAAGGGATGACACAACGATTCACCTATTGGCTCCCTCCAACTAATGAGACACTTCCTCAGCTTTGGGTCGGCAGATTTGTTTCAACAATGGGCCAGGACCATCTCCTTCCCCTCGGGGACCCACCTGCAGCAGCCCACTAAGGGCAGAAAGCAAGCAGTTTGTGGCAGGTAACACTTAACAGCATGGGTCTTCCTTGGCCAGAAGTCATAGGAAATCGAGCAGCAGAGCCAGCTGAAGTGGATGGCTCCCGAGTCCCTCATCGAAGTGTCTGCTCCGGTGTGACCGGGGGTGCTGGACAACGGGACAGGCCTGCAGTGACCGGGGGAAGTGACGAGGATCCTGAGCAGAGCCTGGAGGGAGCGAGAGGCTGCAGCCTGCGCCTCGGGGTGCCCGCGCGTGCAGAGGGGAGGCCCGGCCCGGCTGGCAGGGACCTTAGAGCCGCCCGCCCCCAGGAGGCGCCGCCCACGCGGGAACCGGGCCCCGAGGC